ATGTCCGGCCAATCAATTGTCAGGTAGATAAGTCTACCTATGAGCCCTCTCTACCTGCCTGAATCTTCATACACCTCTCCTTGATCCACTGATAGTTTAGTACTTGGATCCATAGGTGCATCAATAAGCTTGGCACCCAGCCCCTGTTTCTATCAACAAATTTGTTACATATTTCCTTTAAGACAAACTAATACTGTACTTGGACCATGCTATTGCAATTCCAAGAAAATATCATAGTTGTCCCAGTCCTTTGTCTAAACACACTGTTGTCGCAGATATCTCTTCAACTTATTAATTCCTTCTTGATCACTTCTTGGGATGTATCATCAACATAAACCACCATGACAATTGTACCTGTGGTCTCTGAATAAATATTGAATAATCTACATAACTTCTTTGAAACCCATATTTATAACAATTTTGTTGAACTTATTAAAGCATGTATGTGGGGACATCTTACAGTCCATAAATGGCTTTCTTCGACTTGCATACCTTGACTGATTCCCCCTGAGCTACAAAGCCTAGTGTTTGCTCCATGTAGACCTCTTCTTGTAAATCACCATGAAGGAAGGTACTTTCAACATCAAATCGCCACAATGGCCACCCCATTTTGGCTGCTATAGATATGATCACTCAAACATAATGAAGTTTAGCATCAGGAACGAATCCCACAGAGTAGTCGATACCAAAAGTTTGTGTATACCCCTTTGCCACTAACCTGGCCTTTAACCACCCACAAAACCATCTGGTTGATATTTAATTGCATACGGCCATACACCAACGACGTCAAATAGGTATATTTCTTGACTTCTTGTTGGCAAAGATTTGTTCACTAATGGACTGATATTCAGTACTAAGGTCAGATAAGAATTTTGCAACTCGAAATTCTTCCCGTTGCTTCTTTCGTAGCTCTATATAATTTGATTAGGGCTGATACATGTTCAACGCTTCCCACATACCTCGAAGTGAATCACTAATCTCTTGTCACCTTGTTATAAACGGATGATATTCTCATAAGGTTGATAAAATCATTAAATGTTCTTATCAAAAGAGTATATCTCATGCAAAGCCTCCCAAACTGTTTTAGGAGTATCAAGAAACATCACATTCCATATTATTCCATAACCAGGTTATGAATTCTCCTTAAGCCATTCCTCATACCTACTATCTGATTTTTTGGGTCCATTTTCAGTTCACCAAGAAACACTTTTATCAACTGAGCCCATAGAAGGTAATTGGACCCATTTAATTTCACAGAAGCAACTGGCGTCCAATTATGTTATGGATGTTGAAAATTTCAGGCTAACTTGCACTAGTCATGACGGTAAGATGTGCATGTACAAGGAGAATATTCAACACTATAACAAGCTGGATACACTTGGAGGTCTTAAATTAATCTATTGAATCTTGTGAACCTTGAAGACAACACAAAACAAGTTACATGGAGAAGTAGTTCTCTTTTAGATGTAGACAGACATAAATCTCTCCACTAGAACTCTTACACGAACTTCCATAGGTTGTCAACTGCATCAGCCACAAACTTTTGACATATTTCAGTTTGATTCTTTATTTCCAAGGGAGGAAACAGTAAGCACAGATAATCATATTGGTTTGCGCACAAGGCAGAAAATTGAGATGTCCTTTGATAAAATCAACGTATACAGAATTAGGCTTCTTTTTTTTTTTTTTTTGAGGGTTTTTTTTTTTAATTCTCTTTGTCTTTCTCGTTAAGGCAAAAGGAAAGAAAAGAGAAAAATTTAGATCTATGGATCTCTTTGTTTTGATACCATGTTAAAAGTATAACATCAAAGAGAGAGAGAGAGAGAGAGAGAGAGAGAGAGAGAGAGAGGTA